TTATAACATAAACAAAAAGTATTTTAATAAAATTTTGAATGTAAGATGCTAAAACCTTGTGTCATGCATAGTAAAGGGTACCTGGGAAGAGAGGGTTAATTGATTGTTGGAATAATTAAAAACAGTAACAACCTGAAACATTTATTCTGAAATGATCCATTTACCTCTCTGCACGTAATAACTATTTTTCACGCACTTGTAATTGAGATTTTGTCCATGCCACTATCTCCCGCCTAAATCACATATTTTGACATGAATTGTAGCAGTACATGATGAAATAGCCATCCACTAATAGAAGGGTGACACACCCTCTATATACAGTAGATAACCATAAGTACTTGTACTCAAAATTGACTTAATTCTCAAATTTAGCACTGCTGTTATCAGACATGTTTAATTTTGCTCTTCAATTTTGAAGGATTTTGCATGAATCTTCATGATCTATTCAATTTTTTATTCCTTATTATTGTAGTTACTATTTTTCTGTTTCTTTGTTTTCAACTTTGACGAGGTTTATGATTCTGTTTCTCACTGTTCTTCATTTCTGAAGAGTGGTATTCTGTCAACTCATGTGTCTGTGACTTTATCCTCCTGATGTTCTAGGTCTGTTTACAAAGCCAAAATTTCATATGTAATGAGACTAGTTAATATTCTCTACTAGGGTTGTTTGCAGAATTCGAGGCATCATACGTTTCTATGTCTTGAAAATCCTCACAGCTTTTATCGTGCTTATTGTTACTAGAGGTTCTTTGTCTGTGGAAGATGTTACCACCAGTTTTCACAATTTCATCAGTTCCTCTGTTACTTGAGCTCAGCCATGAAGTGGACATTTTTGTACAGCTATTTCCACTGCCTGGTTTTGCTCTGGCTGCATTGTTCTCTGTTGAAGAACACATCATTCTTCTCTCTATGCTGATAGTATTGGGTTATGCTTTCCCTTTCTCCTATGTCCTATGTTTCTTCAAAATCTTTATTCCATATATTCATGCTGTAGCTTTATTCTTCCTCCCTTCACTTGACTTTAGTATCCATGCTGGGATCTTGTCTCAGCATTCTTCCCACCCTTCCCTGCCTTATCCTCCTCATTTCCATGATTTCTTGAACATTTTGACTACAGGACTGGGTGAATTGCACCTAGTACATAAACCACCAAAGTAACCATGAGAGTAGTCATAATATAAATTTGATAATATACATGTGTCTTAATTAGATTTCACAGATTATCAGTAAATATAATAAGGCTTTCCGGCACAAAATATCAGGTTTTTTAAATAAATATTTGCTCGTGAAATTTTTCTTTTGGAATTATGACTATCTAACATGCATAGTGATTTTGATTTTAAGATTAATAATACTTTTCTTCATCTGAAAATTGTCAAATTTTATTTGCATAATCTCTGTAAACTCCTAAATAACAATCAGACATTTTTCTAGAAAAACTGTATATTTTATCTGTTATTTTCTCTACCTTAACTCTTTTTAGGGTTGGTTGATTTGACTGTCCTCTTAACCACCATAAAAATTAGGAAATAAAACTAAAATAACCTTTTTTTCTTTCCAGAATGACTTGCATATTGTAACAAGAAACCACAAGTGTTTATTATAAATAGCTTACATCTCATAACAGTATACATCTAGTTAATTTTTGTTTCATTGACCCTTGAACAGTATCTAACTAATAATCCTGCTTCACAAGTTGTAAGTTATGCATGCACATGCAGCTCACATTACCGTATTGAATAGCATTAAAACTGGCCTTTGCAAAATATGAATGTCTTACTCTTCTTAGTCTTAGTACTAGTATATGAGTATTTTGTAAAGTATAACCACATTTTGGGTGCCATACATTACATATATTTATATATTATTACTATTTCCAAATAAATTCTTAATTTTCATTTATTTTTTCTTAAAACATAGAACAATAAATAAAAAAATGTATAGAAAACAACGATCTCTAACACTTACTATGTTTTTTGTACTCGTGTGTAACCCTTGCTGAGCTTTGTTGAATTTTGCACGTGGAGGATGTAAAAAATAATTTGTGGAGCTTTTTTATATGCATTATGAAATAACAAAAAAATATATATTACAACACCAATACCACAAAATTCCACTGATTCTTATCATGCTTCCTAACTAAGCTGTATTTGGGTCTAAAAATCTCATTTCTGATCAGCATATTACCCTGATCACCACTCTTCATATTCTGCATTGGTAATAATAGCTTTACCATTGTAATTACTTTAGAAAGGCTGACAAAATTATGTAGCTTAAAATGAGTACTTGTGATTGGTTGTAAACAAGTAATTGAGAGAAGTACATGTAGGTATACAAGTATTTTCAAAAGAGAAAGAGGTGGGCAGAGCCACTGTGGTGGGTTCACTAAATATAGTGATATCTCAACAAATGGAAAGGGTAGTAGTTTTTTTTTATATTGTAGCTTGTCAGTATTGGTAATTTGAGTTTCTAATTCATTAAAAACTGTAGACTTTAAATTTTATGACACCCACGATACAAACTGAGCAAATGCAGAAGACAATATATTATGTGACATTTAGCAATTTTTTTTAATATTTACTTTTGAACTAAGAAATAAAAATGTATAATACTAAAACTTGAATGAGAAACTACAATTTGATTCCAAATTTGTGGACATAAATTCATAAGATAGTAGTTTAATAAAATGTTGAATGTAAATCTACAAAATGTGATGACATGAGCTCTGATTACAACCTGTATGGAAAGGGTTTAATATGACTTATGATCATTCCCATTCTGCCTTCTTGGATCCTCAATTCCTGGAATCTCTTCTGCCTTCGTTGGGGTTGACCATTTGTATCCAGTATTCTTCAGTATTCCAGGGTCTTGTCATTGATCCTCTCTCTTCTCACGTGGTTTCTGTGAAGTTCAGAGTTATTCAGACAGGTCACCCTTTTCTCTGTCTTTTTACCCTTTTCAATTCTCTCTTATGTGGCTTGCATTTTACTTGATTCACTTGCCATGAAATCTTTGGGGTGTTCCTCTCACCTTGTAGCCTTGGGTGGAAGCTGCTTGACATAAGTTTTTTCTCATTTCTTTACTCTCCTTTCTTGCTTGTTCTCATGCATCATAACTTGTTCCTTGGCCCATGTATCCTTGTTCTCTCTCACTTTTCCTCTTGCCATCCTCTATCCCAGAGGGTTAGCCTTTGTCTGCTAGTTATTACCTCTCTTTGTATCATGCTGGCTTGGGTGCTGTGAAGACTCTTCTTTTCTTCTGTGCTAATCTGTGGACTTACTTTACGAATGATCATTGGGTCACTCGGGTTGTTCTTATCTATTGTCTCTCTTTTCACTTCCCTTCCCCTTTCCCCATTGTTTTTTCTCCACCTTCCGATCCGCAGCACCTCCACTGTCTTGAGCACTCAATGTTTTGGATGCCATATAGAAAATCACTCACCCCTTTCCAGGTTGCTGTTCTCATCTCTTCATTGTCCCCATAAGTAATGGGGACTAACATCCCATCATTGCATTTATTTTCTGAACCACTTCTGATGATTCCCCAGTTTCAGTTGAAGGGGTTTTTTCCTCTTAAAAGGTTGTGTTTCTTTGGATGAAGATGGTCAGTATCTCGGACGTCTTTCTTCACATTCCAATAACCCCATCTTCATGATGTTTCCTTTGGTTTGCCCATCATGATACAGTATGCAGTTTTCAGGCTCTACTCTTTGACATGGTTTTTGCTCCTTATATTTTCAGCCAGGTCATGATGTCTTATGCTCAACGCATCCACAGTCTCAGCTTTTGTTTACATTCCTTTCTGGATATTTGGCTACTTTTCATTTTTACTCAGTAGACCTCTTCTACAGCCACATCCCTTCTACCTCAAAAAGCTGTTCATTTGGGGTGGCTGATCTTCTTTGTTTGGTTGTTCCTGACTCTTATTATATATTTCATCCACCTTGGAATCCTTATTTCTTTGCATCTCATTTGTGCTCATCCTTCTTCATTTTGTCTGACAGTCATGGAATGTCACCTCAGCTGCTTGGGCTGTGGACACCCTCAGCTTGTATTATCTTCCCTTCTTTTTTGTCTATCTTTTTTGCTATCTGCCTTCCCCCATATATCTTGGCAATGTACCATAACACTGATTGTCTCCTCCTGTTGATAACATCTTATTGGCTAGCTCTGTCTTGGTTTCCTTTTCTCTGCTGGCTGGCATTTTTTTTTTGCAAATTCCTTTTGTCAACTGAGAGGGTTGTCCCTTTGTCTTTGCATGTGGGATTGTCTGTTCTGTACTTGACAGACAGTTTTTCATATTGTACTGCTTGATTCATCCTTTCACTGTCTCTGTTCACCATTTTTATTGACAATACTATTTCAGGTTAGGAAATTTTTAACTTTTAGTTAATTGATTTAATAGTAATGTGACACTAATCGAAGTAATCACTACATATAGGTAACCAACTATATCATTTAATTAAATTGTCCAGCTGTAATCATAGGTCAAAGTTGTACTTTGTAAATTGCTTGCTGTGAAGTATTAACTCTGGATATTAATATTCATTGAGAAAGTACTTAGTGTTGGAACTCAGACAGAATGATTGCATTTTGGTTATTTAGCTTGGATTGAGACCACATGGATCAATGATGTTGTATAGAGTACAGATGCAACACAAAAAACCACCAGAGTTTCAGCTGCATGTGAAAAGAGCTATGATTATGCAAGTTATATGGTTAATATGTATTTTAATTCAAATATTTTTTGTTTTGAAAACTTTTTTGTGTATGCATATGTTTTCTGTATGGTAAAATGAACAATGGGTAGTATGAAAAAGGAAATATTTCTTGTTAGCCTTGTCAATACAATTTTTTGATAACACTTTGAGAAATAGTTATGCTGAAAGTGTAAATCATTTGACATTAAATTATAAGTAGACTTGCTTGTGTAAAATGCAAAGTATTTTCCACCTTTAATTATTTTGCTAACTTTTTATCCTTATATTATTGTTGATTTTGTTTAAATAATTATGATTATATTTGTTCTTGATTTATATTTATTTACAGAAGAATATTTAGCAGAACTTGATAAAAAATTTTCAAGTAAAAGAAAAGTGAGTGCTGTTGATATTGACCTGGTATGTATGGTAGATTTCACTTAATATATTTTGAAATTGTATATTTAAGCTCCTTCATATTTCACTACTTTAACGAACCTCATTCATTAAATATAAATTTTCATAATAATATTTTTTTGGATAAAATAGAATGACAAAGTGTTAAAACATATAGTTTGAATATGCAATCTTTTCATTTGACAATGGCATGTAAATATTTGGTTGATGAATAATGAAAAATATTCTATTTACGTTTATGGATAAAACAGTTGGAAATATTTATTCCTTTAGGTTGAGGGAATTACTAGTATTTACTATGTTGTATCTGTTTGGAAAATTTGAGAATCTTTATCAATTTAAAGATACAGTACAGAACAAAAGACATCCTTGTGGCTGTATTCACAGAAACCTGTTAAACTTTTTATACAGTGTTAACAAGTATGTTTATACCATGCATTTGGGTGGTTGTTATGTACACTGGTATCCAATAGGTAAGTATCAAGTATTTTTATAGCACATACTTGGATGGTTTCAGGTACACTTGTATCCAACAGCTAAGTATCAAGTATTTTTATAGCACATACATGGATGGTATCAGGTACACTTGTATCCAACAGCTAAGTATGAAGTGTACATTGATATCCAACAGCTAAGTATCAAGTATCGTTAATTAAGGAATCTTCTTGCTGGTTAGTGGTTAAGTAGATAATGTATATAATGCATGAGTGCATGATGTATTATAACAATTTAATAAAACACAAAATAAATAAAGTGTTCAAATTTAAATCATCTCTTTATGTTTCAATTGGGCCACCCACTCATCCTAGTAGAACAGAAACTTGAAACTCTACTTCCTTTTCTCACTGTCCGTTTTTCTTGTTATATTCCACTCGTGTAAGGGTAGATGGTCCATGCTCATTTTAATAGTTTAGGGTTGGTCAGTTTTCACTGCTACAAAAAGAGCACCAGTATTAGTGTAGTTTAACTGGTCTCATATCATTGTCATTATTTTTAGACTCCAGAAATTCCATACTTTCTGGAATATTCTGTTGATTGTAAAATTTGTTTCAGCCAGTATTTTGAAGTCTTTCCATTGCATGTGGCCTGGCATGGCCAGGTGGTTAGGGTGCTCGACTCGCAATCTGAGGGTCGCAGGTTTGATTCCCCTCCCACCAAACATGCTAGCTCTTTCAGCCATGGGGTTGTTATAAGTGATGGTCAATCCCACTGTTCAATGGTAAAAGAGTAGCCCAAGAGTTGGTGGTGGGTGGTGATGACTAGCTGCCTTCCCTCTAGTCTTACACTGATAAATTAGGGATGGCTAGCACAGATAGCCCTCGTGTAGCTTTGTGCAAAATTCAAAACAAACAAAGAAGCAAACCATTGCATGTTATGATTTGTGTTTGTATGATTAGCTGAGGCTTACTTTGTTTCTTTCCTCTTTTGCAGTGCCCTTTGCATTCTTTTATTCTCTTTGATAAGGATTGTTTTGTTTGTCCAGTATATACTTCCCCATATGAATATATGATGCTGTAAATGCCTTGTTTTAAAAATCTATCAACAATGTCTTTCCATCTATTGAAATTGCTATGCATTTGATTAATTGGTTGAAATGCTGATTTGTTTTTCTGAAACCTGTGCCATAGATGGTACAATTATAACATGTATGCCACAGGTTTCAGAAAAAAATCAGCAATAATGAAAACTGACTAATCTTTAACTAATATAGCGGGCATGGACCATACAGCAGTCTTTCCCATGAGTCCATGCAACATGAAAGTGAAGTGGGTCAAAAGAATAGGTTACTAGATTGAAAGTAATGTAGTGACAGTCCATGACCAAACTTCCATTGTTAAAACATCACACATGTCTAGAAATGTATATGTGCAAAAAATTGTGAAAATTCTTGATAAATAAGAAATTTCACCTGATTAAACTAATAAAACAGACAAAAGAAACTAAACTCTACATACTACATATGTTTTTGGTCAAAATGAGCAACTGAAGTTGCTGATTAATTTAGTAATAGAGATCTTTTGTTATGCTGTTAAAATGTAAACAAACAAAGAGTAATATTACAAAACTTCTTTCTTCGTATTGTTGAATATGTAATGTTAAAATGGTTTTAGAGCCTCACCACATCATTACAACTCATGATGTCACATCCAGTCATGTAATATCTAATGATTTTGAACTTGATATTACCCCCTGTAGTTTCCACTGCAAAATGTTTAGTACTTCAAAAATATGTAATTATATACATTTATTTATTTATGCAAGGTTTTGATTATGTTCAAGATATGTAATTATTTGTTGCATTTCAGTTTGCTAATCATGTACAAGAGGAAGAGCAATTAGAACATTTAGAAAGTGTTATACACAGGTATGTGATCTGTAAAACATTCTTCAATAATTCATTTTGCAAAATTTTGTTATTTTCCCTTTTAGGGTGAAGAATAAATCAAAATACAACTAATGTGGAACAGTATGTTGCAATGTAGCATTCCAATGCCAGTTTAGTTTTTGACATATTTATGATAAAACAGTTTGTAATATTTACTTTGTTTTATTCCTGAGTTTATTATAAGGGTTTTTAAGCTCTACTTGCTTCACATTTTATAAAGACAAAAGTATGTAGTATCTAGACTAGTGTGTCAACTCTCAGAAGTTTGATAAATTATTTTTCTCCTTTGTACTAACAAAGGAGAAATAATGCTGAAGATGTTACAAAGGTTTTCAACAAAGTATCTGGTATTGTAACTTCAACCAGCACAAGTACTTTGCAACTTATTCAGAACTTAGTGAACATTGTATTTAAATTGTTAAGAATTTTACAAATAAAAAGAGTATTTGGAAATAATTTTTATGGTTACATCTTAAAAAAAAAAAAAGTGGCTCATTTAACTTGCTTGTGAAGTTAGCAAAAGATATGGGAGGAGAGACTTACTCAAAAGACATAGTTAAGCTGTATTGCAAAAGCACAAAGAATGCATGATTGTAGGGATGCTTTATGTTTTTTTAGATTCAAGGCAGTGATCAGAAAAAAATATGAATTAAGAACTATAGTCATGTATAATATTTTAATTACTTAGTCATATTTGAATAATACTATATGTACATATATATATATATATATTAGCAGAGTACCCGGCTTTGTTCAGATGACAATGGCTTTAACTGATTTAGTTCCTAATTTGCATACAAATTTATTGATATACACAATAATAAGAAGAAGAGATTATGAGCAGAGAGGCAATTGAAAGCTCCACGAAGTTTTTAAATCGTTTTAACTGGTGTTTGAATGGGTACCAAAAATCCTACCAGGATACCCAGATGGGTAATTCTGGCGAATGTATCCAGGTTCCTGAAAATTTCTGACCACTATCAACACAACACTTTCTAACATGCAGAAGACAATTTGAACCATGATGCCACCCAGTTTAATTTACTTTGTGTGCAATTGTTACATATTACAATTTCGAATCTGAAACTGAGCTAAATGATAATTTACATTTAGTAGTAAAATATATGCCAATATATCTCCAATTTATGATATTTACCAACAAGATAGATACACACAGTTTTCTTATTTAATACAAATATGTTTTAATATATACACAACAATACAATTTAGAATAACAGTTATTACAAATAGTTATTACAAACAATGATTTATATACAAAAGTTTCACAAAGTTACAAGCAATATAAAGTCTTCTTTCTAGTCTGGAACTTCCTTGATATCTTATCGAGGGTTGACGATGAGCGAGTTAATTTCGAGTTGACATAGGTATAATTCACTTAACATAGAGCTAGCTAGCCCTGTAGTTCTCACTGATCGCACGCCAATTGCAGGTCGAGTATCCACCAATGAC